AGGAGGGGAAACTTCTACCCTAGTGACATCCTTTGACAGTTACATTCTACCTAGTAAAGGTATTGCTGCTTCCCAGAACTTCACCATCAGCCAGCAAGCAGCCACCCAAAGTATGCAACTACTGAGATTCGAACCTTAGCCTCCCCCTCCCCGGCCCCTTAGGAGGGGAAACTTCTACCCTAGTGACATCCTTTGACAGTTACATTCTACCTAGTAAAGGTATTGCTGCTTCCCAGAACTTCACCATCAGCCAGCAAGCAGCCACCCAAAGTATGCAACTACTGAGATTCGAACCTTAGCCTCCCCCTCCCCGGCCCCTCCCGGCCCTCAACCACTCCTGGTCATCTTGTAAAGCAGATGTGCTTGGTCCTCCCTGCATCTGAAACAGTGATGCTGAGAAGCGTGGACCTTTTCCCATTCTGATCCCAGGTCTGTCCACAACTGTTCCTTCCAAACCGCTCATTCATTATTAGAGGTCAGACGGAGGTTTCAGATTTACTCTCCTAAAGATACAAATGTTCCATTGGCCTGGCAGTTCGATAGTCAAACATTGATTCTGAAATTTTTTTTTAATTCGTTGATAATTTCACAGGACTATACAAGGAAATATGATCATATCCATCCGATCATTTCCCCCTTCCAACTCCCCACAGATCTTCCCATACAGTCTGATCCCCCCTTTAAATGATCTATATTTATTTTATCCACATGGCTGTTTCTATTGCAAGTATGTAAGTGTCCCATGCACATACAGCACCAGAGGAGACAGAGAGAGCACCAGATCCCCTGGAACTGGAGTTACAGGTGGTCTTGAGCTGCCATGCAGGTGCTGGGAACCAAATCTTGATCTTCTGCAAGAGCAGCCAGGGCTCTTAACCTGTAAGTCATCTCTCCAGCCCCTATTGTGACTATGTTGTTCAGCAGTGCTGCTCCAGGGTTTTCCACATGAGAACTAAGTCTAACAATAGGTTTCCTATAGGTGCTCAAAATCAGAACAAGCCCTAAATGAGCCCAGACATTCCTGATTAATGCTAGAGTTTTAAAAAATATGTTCAACATTCAGACATTTTAGGATAGGATTATATTCATTCCTCAGACAACCATGCCCCTCCAAGAACTGGCTCTGATGCTAAAATCTCTATACAACCCATCAAAATAGTTTATTATATATGGGAAAAAAATCACAGTTTGATAAATGACAAGTCATAACTGCATAGACGTCTCCATATAGTGTCCAGAAGGTTCCATAGCAGAGTCAGAACCATATAATATTTGTCACAGAGGAATTGCATGGTGACCACAAATGACGGGGAATAGATAGAAAGTAGTTACAGGAAGTGACGACAAAGAAGCCCGGCTAGACGTCAGATCAGAGAAGGCATCACCACTCGTGAGGTTTAGGCTGGAAGATGAGTATTTTCACAGCAGATATTTCTTCATTGATCTTCTATTGATGGCACAAAGTTACTAAGGAGTTTACCGGGAGTATTTTGAGTTCTGCAGATTCCGTCCCCATCCCTCTTAACCATTTGACTTTGGAAAAAAATCTTTAAATATTGATCCAATTGCTAGGAAATATGGCATTTCCGACACAAATGGCGAATCCCACATGAAGGTCAATCACATCTTGCCTCTTTCTAGGTCTTATTTTTAGAGATACATTCTTTGTAATATTTTGTTTTATTATTTTTATTTTATGTGTGTGCGTGTACACATACAAGTACATCACATGTGTGCAATGCCCTGAAGGGGCCAAAAGAAGGTGTTGGATCCTCTGGAACTGCAGTTACAGATAGGTTTTAGCCGCCATGTGGGTGCTGGGAATTGAACCCGGGTCCTCTGAAAGAACAGCAAGTGTTCTTAACTGGTGAGCCATCTCTCCAGCCCCTCTAGCTCTTTTTTGAAGCATTTTTCAGACTGAAGGATCAAAACTAGCCTTTGGCCACTAAGAAATTTCCAGTTCATGCAATGAATATAAGAGTCTAACTCCAAAGATATCAGACTCTGAAACTGCTTCTAAATTGATGGGATGCCCCAGGAAATACAAGCTAGGACGTGCCTAAGCCTTGAGATGAACTTTCCTAAATCACCAGGAGGCAGTGTTGTAAAAAGAAGCAATGGTCTTAGGAAATAGAGGCAGTTTCCTAGACTGGAGGCATGGCTTAGGAGGGAAGAAAGGACTGTAGATCCTGAAGGTTTGGGTACCAGCTCATGTTAGTGCCAGATTGCTCCAACAAAGAAGAATCAAGAGGCAGCACTCCCCTGCCCACCCTTCTCTCTTAAAGACACCACACACCCTTGTCCCCATCCGCTTCCTTCCCCAGACACCCCCACACGTGTCTGTCTCTGACCATGCCTAACCCACCGGAGTGTCTCACAGGGTCCCTCGGCATTCTGCAGCTCTGTGTTTGTGCGTGCCCTTGATGATCAAGACAGTTCCAATGAGGATGCCCACCACGCCCACAACCAGCCCAAGGGCACACACCACATTCTCCGTGGTTTCTGGAAGGAGGATTTGCTCTTCAAATTCTGGGGGAAAATAAAGTAACTGTTAAAATCTGTAGTAGGGAATGACATTTAAGAGCAAATTTAGTCAAAAGGATGCTAATAAGAGACAGACTGATGTATTGAGCGAATCATGGGTTAAAAAGTGGAGGAACCTTGGTATAGAACACAGGTGTATTACTTAGAGATGTTATTAAGCATCATAGATTCTGGTTTTTGTCTGTTTGTGGTGCTGGGAATTGAATTTGGGGCTTTACATAGGCTAGACAAGTACTCTACCACTGAGCTACACTCCCAAGCCTGCGCTATGAATTTTAAGGGTCCAGAAACAAACATCATAGGAAGAGACCTTAAAATAAAGTGAATTGTGCCATACCCCAATGTTTGAGAATAGGTTTCTCCAGGCCCCAGTGCTCCACCATGCAGTCATAGACGTCTTCAGTGGAGGGCAGGAAGGTGAGGTAGTAGAACTTGCGGAATAGATGGTCTTCCCTGGGCAGGAAGACTGTCTCTGACGTGCCTGTGGTGACAGGTTTTCCGTTTTGAAGCCAGGTGACGTTGACCACTGGAGGTGAGAACTTGTCAATGAAACAGATGAGGACATTGGGCTCTCCCAGCTTCACGGGGCTGTTGGAGAGCACGGTCACCTCTGGAGGTTCTGTGGGACACAGGACACAAATTAGCCTTCATTCCCTACTGTTCCTCCCATACTGACACGTGCCACAATTCTATGTAGGAGCTATAAAGCTGAAATTGTGCCCTGAGGGGTCCACACCACAGTCTCTGATACCCAGCTCTGACATTTTTGGAAGCAATGTTGAGGTATAAGATATTCAAGTCCCCCCTAGCCCCCCCATCTTAGATTCCTCTGTGTAGACTCAAGGTGGTAATTTCGTGAGTGATCGTGGGTGACTGAGATAAAACTTGATCACGGCAAGGCACAATTTATAGAATTCCTGAGACTGTGACATGAGAATTAGGGGTTTTCTTATGACAGGTTTAGGTCACTATGACAGTGTGACACCAATTGCTAAGGCATCTATTTTAAAGCTATGGATTCCCATGCCCACGATGTAGAAAAGAGAGAGGTACCATTGGCATCAGGGGTGCCGTTGGAGCGCTTTATCATGATCTCCAGATTGTCTCTGTCCACAGCCATATTAGCCAGTGCACCTTGAGCCTCAAAACTGGCAAACTGTCCAAATTCCTTAAGTCGCCAGACTGTCTCCGTCTTTTCCATATCCACATGAAAAAGCTCATCACCATCAAAGTCAAACATAAACTCTCCTGTTTGGTCCGGGGCAAGATAGAACTCCGCCTGGATGATCGTATGTTTATCTGAAAGGGGAGGAAAGGGCATTAAGAAGGGAAATGGGAAAGAGAGACGGAGAACCTAAATACACATGGGAGATGACGGACAGGGATTGGGCCAAGTGCAATAGAGGAGGACGGAGAGTCGGGATTACGGAAGAGATACATAAACTCTCCTGTTTGGTCCGGGGCAAGATAGAACTCCGCCTGGATGATCGTATGTTTATCTGAAAGGGGAGGAAAGGGCATTAAGAAGGGAAATGGGAAAGAGAGACGGAGAACCTAAATACACATGGGAGATGACGGACAGGGATTGGGCCAAGTGCAATAGAGGAGGACGGAGAGTCGGGATTACGGAAGAGATAAGAGCTGGGTGATTGGACATCCATACTGAGTAGAGCTAGGAGGTGAGAAAGAAAGGGGCAACGTTAGAGTGGAAGAAAAATCAAAACTGCAAAACAGTGTTGCCCATGTGCACATGGGTGTGGGTCATCCACCGGGGCGTGGGGAACCACCAGTGGCTTCCCTTCAAAAGGAAAAGAACTCTTCCTCCCCAGGTCACATCCAGAAGGTGCTATTTCACAGCACTCCCGCGACCCTCTGGCTCTTCCATTCTTTGCGTCCCCTCTTCCATGAGCCTCGGGGAGGGGGAAGGTTGATAGAGGAAACAGAGTATTAAGCAGCTTCTTAGTGGCTCCGTGTTCTAGTGGAGACATGATTTTCCTTTCAGAATTCCAGGGGCAGCCGGTAGGACAGAACTCCTTCCTCACTCTCCAGAGCATCTTTCTCGGGTCATTGTGTTCTCAGAAGAGGAAAGTGTTATTCGAAAGGATCGATTCTGAATTCTGGAATCAAATAAATCTTGACATCTCATCCAGTTACTGACCTTAGGATCTGAGCTGACCAGTCTAGCTACTTACATGTGATTTTCCAATTGTATCTCTGTTGTGAGTCTATCAGGGATGGGTTTGAGATAAGGCGAGCATTTTCTTAGTAGGTCATCAGTCTTTTAACCAACACTGTTGACAATCCATGGTCAGAAAATGCTTTTCCTTTAAGGAGTATACTCATGGAAACACTGGAGCCTGAGGCACCGAGGCCATTAGGATTGAGGTCTTGCAAGGCTGTAGATCACCTACTTCTGGCTCCACAGAAACCCCTCCGAGAATGATTGGCTCTGGGATGACCTTGAAAACTTGACCTTTGTGTAAGTGCTGCATAGATTGTGACCGTTTTGGAGGACATCTTTAATTATGATTGACGCTAAGGGAATATCAAGTTGGTGTGGACAGATGAGAGGGCTGTTGTTTCTCTGTATTTAGGCACACAGTTAAGAAATTGTAGTGATTCCCTGTATATTGACATGCCTAGGGATTTATTTAGCATTTACCTCTGTGGGCAAACAGATATTCTAGCTGCCTATCTTCACCCCAAGGGAGGAGCCTCTGCTTTCCCAGGTTAGCATGCCCACGTAACGTTCTTTCGGGGCAGTAGAAACCCACACTTGTTTTACGGGTCAGGGAGTTGGGTTACCACTTGGCTTTAGCATTTCCCCCTGTGGGCAAAAAGATCTTCTAGCTTCCTATCTTCACCCCAAGGGAGGAGCCTCTGCTTTCCCAGGTTAGCATGCCCACGTAACGTTCTTTCGGGGCAGTAGAAACCCACACTTGTTTTACGGGTCAGGGAGTTGGGTTACCACTTGGCTTATTCCCTTTCTCCATCCATCTTTCTACAGGTCATTCTGGGGGCAGAGGAGCACTTTTCATAATAGAATTTACATCTCTGTTTATTCATCTGTCTCCTCAGTTGTGACTATAACTCAGTAACAGTGACCACAGATCCTGTAATATCTGTGGTAGCACCAAGAGACAGGGCACGGCTCTCACAGCCCCAAGAGACACAACATTGAATGCTGTTCATATCAGCATGCCCACCCTCTGTTCTCCCTTAGGCATATTTCTGGATTTGGGGTGACTTTTCTTTCTAGCAATCTTCAACACGATGTCTGTGCTTGAGCTATCCTGACAGGATTCATGTGCCAAAAGCGAACACTGTGTATTCAGTTAAGAGCCACGCTAAGAAATCCTCTTAACTTTTCTCCCTTAATCTTCACAAAAGGATTTGAAGTTTCTAATTATTAACTTTGCCAATATTTAAGAAATGAAAGCAGAGAGATACAACTCAGTAATGCCAATCAGAAGACACTGCCCCCAAACCTGCACGCGTGGCCTATACTGAGTCAGAGGTACCCAACAATATGCGTCTC